ATTAGCCCTTTTTCCTGTCAAAAGCCTGCATGCACAGCCTCTGCAGAACCTCTGGCAGGGGGCAGGTAGGACAACTATCATGGTCTCTGTCTTACAAATGAAGATCCTAAGATCTGAGAGGTAAAATGGCTTGCCCAAGAACCCAGGCCTAGTGACGCCCCACCCAGGAAGTGGGCAGGCCAGTGCTGGTGACAATGGCAGCATGTGGGAGCTCAGGAATCTGGTCTGCAGTCACCCTGGGGCTGGGAGATGCTGGCAGGCACTCATGGGGGCCCCCCAACTGCCACTCTTTTCCCAGATGGCCATGTACAAAGAGCCCTTTCAGTAGACATAGTCACCAGGGAGGCCTGGGGAGCTACAGCTGCAGGAGGAACCTGCAGAGTCCTCTAAGGACAGCACCAGAAGCCTGGCCCATCTGCAGAAAACTGGGATGTGACCAAGTACATGGGACATCACTGCGCTATTCAGCAAAGTCTCTGGCCCTTCTTGGCCTTGTCCAGACCCTCGGGAGGACACTGAGGGGCACCAAGGGCTTAGAGCATCCCTGGAAATGAGAATCCAGGGTCTTACTGAGCTACAAGAGTGGCGAGAGTGTGCTGGGTCAGGACCATTCTGTGGCATGAAGCCCAGGGGTGGGCGGGCATTTGCCCCTGGCTTGTGGAGGAGCCCTCAGAGCAGCCTCTGAGAGTTCAGGGCTCCCATCTCTGCTGCAGTGAGGATCACTGAAAGCTCTGTAGCCTTGTCCTGAGCTTGACGTAAGGAGCCTCGCCTTGCCTTTGAGGACTTTAGATGGGACTGGAAAGACACTGAGGTTAATAATAACATGGTTAACACTTGCACGCAGCACTGACCCTGTGCCACACTCTGCCCAAGCCTTCACACACAGAGAAACTCATGAAGCCTCGGGGCAACCCCATGGGACAAGTACATACCTTCCAGTGTAGGCAAGGAACCCAAGAGGCAGGGAGGTGGGATAACTTGCCCAACAGTGCCCAGCTACAGGGGTAAGGGCAGGGTTCAAGCCCAGGCAGGCTGGTCTCTGCTCGTGGTCTGGGGTATGCTTGCCCTAAAACTCAATGCCTAAGCCACTCTCCCCTGGCTGCACATACAGGCTTTGGCGACGGGATTCGGGCGGCAATGTGGATCCCCTTGCCCCAGGCAGCAGAATCCCCCAGTTGGTAGCCTCTGGTTAGGCCCACCCGGCTGCCAGCGAAGTCCGTGACCAAGAAAGGGCATCCCAGGTGGGCTCTACAGAGCGGGCAGGGCGTCCCAAGAGCGCGGCCCGCTGCGCTGCACCGCCCTGGCGCCCTCCACATGTGGGGACCGCCTACTGGCACCCGGGCCTCCCTTTGGTTGCAAGAGCCATGTCCTGCCCCAGAAGCCCAGCTCTCCCTGGGAGGTCTGCGGCAGAAGACCGGCAGCTCCGCGAGGGCGCCGGAGCGGCCGCCGGCTGGGCTCTGCGCAGGTCCGCGCCCTGCTGTTTCCCACGCAGTGACCTCTGCTGGTCCGGCTGGGCCTGTGCAGCTGGGAAGGCGCCTCCAGGGCCCGCACCGCCCGGCGCCGACCTCCTTCCCAACTCCTGGGAGCGCCGGCCCAGGTTTATTTCTGCAGGGCTGCAGAAAAGGAGAGCCACCCGGAGAGATTCAGATACACGGGCTTCCGCAGCGCACAGGCCTGAGTTCTGACGGCCCCAAACAATACAGACGCTTGCGGAAGTCTGGGAGCATCGGTCCACGGATCTCTACAATACGAATGCTGATTCCTAAGCCAGGGTTATTTCAGGGTTGAAGGTGGTGAGGTTTGTTAAGGTTCAGACTGTGTGGTGGTCATAATTATAGGACCCCACCCTAACACAGCAAAGACCTTGCCCACCGTGCGAGGGCTGCTGATCCAGGCACAGGGGCCTTCCAGCCCTGCTGCTCCTGCAGTTTCCTCTCCCTGCATGAGGGTACCCAGAAGACGGGGGCCTCAGGCAGGTCCTCCCAGGAAGGTTCTCTCTGCACTGGGTCGACCAATTCTCTAGGTGAATCTGGGTAAATTAAGTCCCCTCTCTGGGTTTCTGTCTCCCTATCTCTTAAATGTGGGGGTGGATTTGTGGTTCCCAGGTACTAGACCATCAGTATCCAAAATGCCTGTTAACTCTTTAGTAATCCAGAGTCTAGGAAGACCTCCACCTCCTGGGATTGCGATGCAGGTGATGGTTGTGGAGGCTGGGACTTAGTATTTTAACACCCTCCCCAATTTATCTGGCATGCAGCCAGATTTAAGAACAACTGATTTCGATGTTCATAAGGTCTTCTCCTGCTCCAAGATTCAATAACCTTAGACTTGAAGAAAAGGCCTGGACTGATCCCTGAGCCTCAGTCTTCTACCTGGAGCAGGCCACCCTCCTCTCAGAGAGACAGACCAAAAACGTTTCTCCCTGTCTGCTTCTCCTTGGGAGGATTTTGGAAAATGACCCCTAATTAATAGTCATTCAGTTGCCTTTCCAAATTTCGTTCCCCTTGCCTTTCTTGGGGAGAGAATTCCAGTTTTGTTAAACTATCTCTTAATCAGAGAAGATGATATTCATTCTGATTTATCTCCGCCAGTTGTGGAGTTCCAGTTCCTTGCCAGCTATTTATTCAGCAATCATAATGGCAACCAGTTTGGGCCAAGGAAACATGAAGCGAAGTTTGTGGAAAGGAGTGGGGATTCGGAAAGGTGACTTTAAAACAGATACAGGCCAGGCATGGTAGCTGCGGGCTGTAATCCCAGAAATTTGGGAGGCCAAGGCAGGTGGATCACTTGAACCTATGAGTTTGAGACCAGCCTGGGCAGCATGGCAAAACATTGTCTCTACCAAAAAAAAAAAAAAAAAAAAAATGTAGCCAGCCATGGTGGTGCATGCCTGTGGTCCCAGCTACTCAGGAGGCTGAGGTGAGAGGATCATCTGAACCCAAGGAGTTAGGGACTACAGTGAGCCATGATGGCACCACCACACTCCAGCCTGGGCAACAGAGTGAGACCCTTTCTAAAAAAAAATTGTTTTACAGAAAAAGAAATACACTCCCTCTTCTTTCCTCAGAAAACTCATGACTGGGCATGATGTCCAGAACTTCAGCAGTTATCTTTCCATAGTGAGGGGATAGTTTGAGGACAAAACCCCTAAGCAGAATGAAAAACCGGGAAGAGCCTGTTTCTTTCATTACATTGTAAAGCTGCTAACTTAGCCAACATTGGAGCCATTTTTCCTCTGGGGCCTGGGTTTTCTATTACAACAGAAAGCAACCTCACTGATACACTCACCTTCTCCAAAACCCTTTGCACGGTGATTGGTGGGGAGGTTTTCTATACTAGGAATCATTCATCCTTCATCCAATCCATCTCATTCTCAAGGCCTGTCCATTTATCTCCTGAATAATTCTCAAATTCATTCATCTTCCTACATCTCCCCTGCCACCATCACTATGGGAGCCATTGCACTGGCCTCATAACTGGTCATTCGTGTGCACCCTTGCCTCTTCCCAGCCATTGTCCACTCCAAGTCAAAATGTTGACTCTGTCACTCTCCTGCTAACCCTTGAATTGCTTCCTATTCTAGGACAGAATCCGCACTGCCTGCAACCTGCACCATCTGCCCCTTCCTCCCCTCTGACGCCATACCACTGTGTCTTGTTTCTCCCTCAGTCTCTGCCCTCCAGCCACACCAGCCTCCTTAACGCTTCCCAAGCCACCTTCACTAAGGAGTCCCGACCTGATGCTCCCCCACCTGGAATTCTCTTCACTCCAGTCTGCTTCACCACTTCTCTCAAACATCGCTCCCTCAGGAAAGGAATCCACACTAGACCAGGGCCCTCTGTTCTCCCTGCTAAACTTTCTCCTAGTCTCCTGAGCTTTGCGTTCAAAAGACTCATTACAGTCTGAAATTATCCATCTGCAAGATTTTATTTGGCCAAATTCTGTTCCCTTCTAGAGTATAAACTTCACAGCGTCAAGGACCCTGTTTTTCTTCCTGGTCATTTAACTCTAGCACTTCTCACACTACCTAAAGCATAAAGCAAATGCTGAATGCATCCTTGTTGAATGAATAAACAAACTCTCACTTTTCCAAACAAGAATGATGCTAATTTTAAAACTCCACCCCAGAGCTTTAGGCAAATAAACTCCTCTTCAAAAGCGAATGCTGAATACATCCTTGTTGAATGAATAAACAAACTCTCACTTTTCCAAACAAGGATGGTGCTAATTTTCAAACTCCTCCCCAGAGCTTTAGGCAAATAAACTCTTCTTCAGAACAACTCTCTTCTAGGAAATCAGAGAAAGTAACAAATGAGATGCAGAGGTTGTTCAGATAAGCAGACCAAGGTCTCAGATTTTTCAGATAAGCAAGCCAAGGTCTTGGGCAGTCACAGGATTGTCAATCATCCAATATGCATGCTCTTTCTGCCAGGTGCTGCTCAGAGCTGATGATCTATCGATAACTAGGGCACGGTCCCTGCCCTCACAGAGCTCCCGTCTGGTAGATTTTCCCAATGCTTTTCTCCCTTCTGCCCTCCCCTGACCCAGTTCTCCATCTGTCCTCGGAGGCACTAAGGACAAGGCAAATGTGACATCAGGACATCATGGGGCCCTGTTCCCGCTTGAGGGTGACTTAAGAACCTGCTGACACTCTATTTGGAAGGACAGAGAGGTGTATAGTCAGTGCTGACAAGAGGCCAAAATGGGAGGCTTCTGGCCACGCCCTCTTGCCTGGTGGCCAAAAGAATAAGGCATCATGGAGTGTTTCTGATGTATAATGGATATCTCGTAATGGCCTCAGTTTCCCCAGGGCAACTTCCTTCCTCAGAAGCAGGAATTTGTAGGGGATGGTAGACAGAAATTCAAGCTTCATCTCAGAAGAAGATAAAAATTCTATGGAATGCTCCTCAGCCGCGACCCTCAGTGTCTCTGTTCTTCTGTAAGTGGAGGCCAACTTCACTGGCCAGGATGGAACCACCAGAACCCCTCAGGCTGAGGTCACAATGACAGGAAGACTGAGGAGGAGCTCAGGCCATGACTGGGGTTAAAGAGAGACACTGAGGCCGGAAAGCTGGCCGGGTCCCACTCTATGAGGAAAGTGCCAGGAAAGAGCTGAAGCTGTGGAGCTGAGAGATACTGGGGCATCTCCCGACAACAGACTCCAACGGGGCAGAATTGCCCCAGCCTGGGCACCACGGTTCAAGCTCCTGAGTCCACCAGTGCCTTTCTTTGCCCCACCTGCCTCAGATGCTCCCACGGAAGATGTCCCATTATCAAAGAAACGTCCCACACATCAGTAGGCACTGAGGGCTAGAACCAGAAGGAACGCGACACTGGGTAAAATGCCACAGGCTCCTTTCCACTTCCTTTCCCCGAGACCTCAGGTGTTAATCTCTGCAAGGTGAGCTGGGGGTGACAGCCAACTGGGAAAGAAGGAAATTGGGAGAGAAAATTCATTCAAGGAAAGAGATGCTCCGTAATTTCCTAAATGCATTCTCTCTGCTTTCCCCTCCTCCTCCCTCCCACTCCCTCTTCCCCATCTTTTCTCTTTGCTTCCTTCTCCCACTGTACTCTTCTCTCCCTCCTCTTTCTCTTCTCTTTCTCTCTCTCAGCTTTCTCTTCCAGCACAGAAAGTCTTTACACAATTAAATTAGGACAAGAATGATTTCCAAGGCTTTAAAATATCCTTGTTAAAGGAATTCACTGGGAGGAAGAAATTGTGCTTAATTTCTTAGAAAATAAAAAGCATGTGGTAGAAATTGATGTTGTTTCCTCCCCTCCTCCAGATCCCCCACCAAGGAGAGCACATCTGAGGCTTACCTGTCAGCCACATCAGGCAGGTGGGGCCAGGATGGTGATGGCCAGATACAACTTTGCAGCCTCCCATCTGGCTCCTATCCTGCGGTCTGTTTGACAGGTGAGTTTAGGGACATGGAAAATGACTTTAAACATCTGTTTGCTAGAGAAAGAAAGGAACATTGCCTCCCATCACCTTCAGGTGGTCCTTATTCCCTCACCCTGGGCCAGGGCTTCCATTAATCCATGTGGACCTAATTCATCATCTCAAGGACAAGTGTTGTCACTCAAGTTCTGATCCCTAGGCCCATGGAGCAGCTGTTTTCACCAGAGAGGGAAATATCCACACTGTGTACAAGGACCTGGTGGGAGGCAGAATAATGCCACATCCAAAGATGTCCACATCCTGATGCTCAGAACATGTGAATATGGTGCCTTACATGGCAAAGAGGACTTTGCAGATGCGATTAAATCGCAGATCCCAAGATAGGAAGATTATCTTGGATTATCCAGGTGGGCCCCATATAATTAGGAAAGTCCTTCCATGTGATAGAGGAAAGGCAAGAGAGTTGAAAAGAGTGTGAAGGTACAGCATTCCTACTTTAGAAGATAGAGGGAAGGGCCATGAGCAGAATGCTGGCAGCCTCTGGAGGCTGGAAGAAGGAAGGGAATGGGTTCTCCCCTAGAGCCGCAGAAGGAGCGCTGCCCTGCCAGCACTGTTAGCCCAGTGAGACCCACGTCAGACTCCTGACCTCCAGAAGTGTAAAAGAATAAATCCATGTTGTTTTAAATTGCTGTTTGTGATACTTTATGACAGCAGCAATAGAAAACTCATGCAGCCCCTGAAGGTATTGGACAGAGCCCGGAGTGGGGAAAGAAGGCCGTTGACAAGAGGGGTTGCAGATGCAGGACAGAGACAGAGTCCTCCACCACACTATGACAGAACATGGAGGAATCCATGGTCCTGAATTTGAACATGACCTCCCAGGTTGTTACAAAGGTACGTGTGTCAAGATAAGAAGGGAACGTATTTTGTGTAACAGTTTGTTAGCTTTAAATATTTAGACATATGGTTCATAGGCCACCACGTGCTCTCTTGCCCCAGGCCCTGAAGTGGTAGGCAAGAGTCTCCTGGAAGAAAGGCTGAGGACTAACTCCCTCATGACCATTTGCATGTAGGCCACTGCCTTCTATTAAAAAACAAATGCTCAGCACCAACACTGTGCCATTAGCTACCGATGACCACAGGAGAGAACGTCTTTGATACTCAGAAGGTTAAGGTTGCCCGGACAGGGCATAATGCCACAGCCACCCTAAACTCGAGAGTCAGGCAAAATGCATATGCAATGAGCTTTATTACCATCTCTGAGATTCATGGTAATTCGGCACAAACGGTTTGGTTGTATTTTCCTTGTATGTATATAGCCATGCCCCTTCCTCTAGTTCACACCTTCTTGCTTTGCTACATCTCCCTTATTTATAACTGGCATCAAAGGAGATGGATTTTTCTCATACTAAGCAAAATAGAATCCTCATCCTATACTGATATTCACGTATATTAAAAGTTAATGCTCCTTTCCATTTTCACAGTAGCCATGATTGCCTACATCCTTCATGCCTCCTTCCTCCCAGCCCCGACATCTATCATGGCCAAGTCCTGATAGGCCCAGGCTCTCTACCTCTCCTGCCCAGTTCCCAAGTCCTTTCATCTCCCATGCCACCTGCTCCGGCTCTCCACCTCCCACCTGGGGCCCTGGCTTCCAGATAACAGGAGGCAGGGGAAAAGCTAAGCCCCTCAAGGGGGCCCAGAACAGCAGCAGCAATGTAAGGACTGTAGGGAGAGGCAGAGCCATTTCCCAGGGGGCTTTCCCCTTCTGTTCCATCTTTTTCCCTCTTGATGAGTTCCTTATCTGCCCAGGACCATCTGGGTTCTCCGTGGCTTTCTGCACTTTGCCCTAAAAATGATGTCAGTTAGTATTTATTAAGCACTATTTTTTTTTTGAGATGGAGTCTCACCATGTTGCCCAGGCTGGAGTACAGTGGCACCATCTCGGCTCACTGCAACCTCCACCTCCCAGGTTCAAGTGATTCTCCCACCTCAGCCTCCCAAGTACATAGGATTACAGGCACATGCCACCACACCTGGCTAATTTTTTAGTATCTTTAGTAGGGATGGGGTTTCACCATCTTGGCTACACTGGTCTTGAACTCCTGACCTCGTGATCTGCCCACCTCAACCTCCCAAAGTATGAGGACTACAGGCTCACTTATAAGTGAGCACTTTCTTTATGCCAAGTGGCTTTCATTACACCATATCTTTTGATCTTTACAGTAAGCCTGTGTAGCGGACCTTATATTCACTTCCCAGGACCAAGGAGAATATGCCCTTCTCCACACATCTGATAAATTGCTGTCAGATTCCTATTCGAAGGAATCTGCCTTCCATCCTGTTAGCTCCCCACTACTTCTTGTTAACTGACCAAAGACTCATAATGAAATTTCAGGCTGCACCCTGCCAGGTGGCTAAACCGTTCCAGGGCTCAGAAAGGTCTTAGAGACCCACTGCAAAGCTAGCTCCTCCCCGTGCCTTGTGAACACCTACTGAGGGCAGCTTGTGCTGAAGGCTCTTGTCAAGGCTGTCCATGAGAAGCAGGCCCATGCGGGCTACTGTCAGGTCCCAGGTAACGTCATCAGTCTCATAAATAAAAACACAAAATGTCCAGTTACATTTGAATTTCAGATAAGCAACGAATGACTTTTTATGTACTTACACTAAAAAACCGTTCATTGCTTACCTGGACTTCAGCTGTAACTGGGCATCCTCTATTTTATTCGGCAGCCTTAGGCCCAGTCCACTCAGGTGTGGGCTTCAACATGACAAGTGGAGAGAAAGGGCAGATGCAGTTCCCTCCACTCACCACAGGTGGGCAAAGAAGGCCTGAGAATGTTCATTGCAGCACTGTTTACAATAGCAAAGACCTGGAACCAACCCAAATGCCCATCGATGATAGGCTGGATTGGGAAAATGTGGCATACATACACCATGGAATATTATGCAGCAATCAAAAACGTTGAGTTCGTGTCATTTGTAGGGACATGGATGAATCTGGAGAACATCATTCTCAGCAAACTGACACAAGAACAGAAAATGAAATTCCGCATATTCTCACTCATAGGCGGGTGATGAAAAATGAGAACACATGGACACAGGGAGGGGAGTACTAAACAGTGGGGTCTATTGGGGGGAAAAGGGGAGGGACAGTGGGGGTTGGGGGAGCTGGAGAGGGATAGCCTGGGGAGAAATGCCAAATGTGGGTGAAGGGGAGAAAGCAAGCAAAACACACTGCCATGTGTGTACCTACGCAACTGTCTTGCATGTTCTGCACATGTACCCCAAAACCTAAAATCCAATAAAAAAATTTAAAAAAAAAAAAAGAAGGCCTGAGAAGGCCTGGAGCCAGCGCTGCCCCAGAGATAAAACCCAGAAGCACATTCACTCAGAGCCACCCGTCTCTCCCCTGCTGGCTCCTTGTGCCCTAGATCACCTCCTGCTCCCTCTCTCTGTCCTTCTTCCAAACCACCACACCCTCCATTGCCCACAAAGCTGCCACAGCCCAGTGGACTCTCATTTGCTGATCCCAGCGTGCCCAGGAGTATGAGCCAAATAATGCAGGTCAACCCAGGCCGCCTTCATCTGTGACCTGAGGGGCAGGAGTAGGAAGGTGGCCAGGTCCCCAGGCCAAGGCACACTCCCTCCAATGCTGGAAGATGCCTCCATGGCTCACCAGAGCCTGGCCTGGGAAGCTGAGGGCTGTCCTTGTTGGTGGAAGGCCCTGGATCAGAAGCCAGGACAGGCAGGCCAGAGGCCCTGACCTCCCTGCTGCCCTCGCATTCTTTCCAGCTTGGTCCCTGCGGAATGAAGGTTCAGGGGCGAGGGGACACAAGACGTTTCCTATTTCTCAAAGGAAACTGTGAGCAGATAAAAGCACGTATTTTTTTATGTTTGTCTTCCTTGAATAAATCTTTACATTAGAGGACGGTCCAGTTAAGTATCACTTTGGCTTAAACATTAGGTCAGCAGATGGTTGAAGGAGATAAGAAAGATTTGCGGAGGGACTGGGCCAAATAGTGAAAAGCCGAGGGCCAGAGGCTATCCAGGACCCCCCGGAGGTGCCCACTGGAGGAAATGACCCAAGAATGTAGCCTGGCTGGGCCAAAGTCTCATAGCTTCTGGAGTTATAAATCAAGGCCAGCAGCATGTCACTTGCACGACTATGGTGAGGATCACGTGTAATGATGTGGGGGAGCGGGTAGAAGGATGTAGGTGCCTCGGATGTTATCAATGGAGGACAGCCTCTCAGTTTACCATCTGTGTGGCCTGAGGCGGGGTACTCAACCTCTCTGAGCCTCTTGTAAAATGGGGGAAAGAGCAGCATCTAGCATACAGGCTTGTTGAGAGGATGGATGCAGGCGGTGTGTGGACGGCACTTAGCCCCGTGTCTGGCACCTGGTAAACTGCAGTCGTCAGCTGCTATCTGGTGAGACCTCTTCATGTTGCCCGAGATCAGAGTTGTGAGTACAGCAGGAGCCTCGCATCAATTGCTGCTATGAAACCACATGAACAGTTGCTGCCTGGCTGGCTCTGTAAGAAACCTCTTTCCTAGACCTCAGGCTGCTCAACCTGTGTCCACTCAAGAGACCACAACAGCGACCAATCCCTGCTGAGACCCTGGACTATGTGACAGATCCCAAACACAGGAACAGAAAACCACATCCCACACCCTGGCAGTGAAGCCTGGTGGTGGAGCACATGGGTTCAAACCCAGACTGCCTGGAATTAAATTCCAGCTATTTATTACTAGCTGTGTGAGGATGGGTCATTTGTTTAACCTATATGTGCCTCAGTTTCTTGATGTAGTAAACAGGCTATTTGTACTAAATAAAACTATTGTGGGAATTTAAAAGTTAACAGATGTAGTAATCTTAGAGAAGTTTGGTCAACAAATATTTATCAAATGCCTATTCTGTGCCAAGCACTAGGAGTCTAGCAGACAAAACCGGGAAACGTGCCTGCCCTCGTGGTATAGACAATTACAAGATAGATGTGATAGTGGTAAGTGCTAAGGGATCAATACAACAGAAGAGAGAGAGAGAGTAGAGTAGGGGATGCAATTTTGAGTAAGTAGCCAGGGATGGCCCTGACAGAGTGACCTCAGCAGACATCTGGAGGACAAGCATTCCAAACAGGGACTAGCAAATGCAAAGGCCCTGAGCTGAAAGGGTGGAGCAGTGTCTAAGGAGGCTGTTAATGAACAGAGTGAGCAAGGGGGAGGGTGCTGGAAAAGAGAGTGATGGGTTTGGGAGTACATAAGGCCCCAGCATCACTGAAAGGACTTTCCCCTGTACTCTGAGTGACATGGGAGCCGTTGGAGGGTTTGGAGCAGAGGAGACACGAGTTCTGTTTTTACAGGATCACTTTGGCTCATGTTTGGAAAGTTTACTTCAGGAGAATCAAGAGCAAATTGCAGGGAGACCAGTTAAGAAGCTGCTGGAATAATTCAAGTGAACCATTATAATGGCTTGAACTAAGGTGGGACAGCAGAAGTGTCAGGATGAGAACGCATTCTGGCTATATTCTACAGGTCGACCAATGTGACTTGCTAAGATCAGATGGAGGAAGTGAGAGAATGAGGAGTCAAGGAGAATACCAAAAGTTTTGGTCTGGGCAGCTGAAAAGCAGTTGCCGTTTCCTGACACTGAAGAGATGCAGAGAGAAGTGGGTTTGTTAGGGCGTGTTAGAAGATTTGTTGCGGAGGCCAGCCACAATGGCTCTCACGCCTGTAATCTCAGCACCTTGGGAGGCTAAAACAGGCAGATAATTTGATGTCAGGAGTTTGAGATCAGCCTGGCCAACATGGTGAAAACCCGTCTCTACTAAAAATTCACCAGACATGGTGGTATATGCCTGTAATCCCAGCTACTCAGGAGGCTGAGGCATGA